GGGGTTGCTAGGTAAGGGGCTGAACGCAGGTTCTGGTGGGTTGTCGTACGGCTTGTGACATTTACTTACAGTAAATATGCCCCTGGGTGCATTTTTTTTTTTTTTTTTTTTTTTTTTTTTTGGTCTTAGGACAGTTTTTTTAAGAAGTACATACCCAAAGTTGAGTAAAAAACCTTTAAAAAGTGAACTTTGCATAATAGGTCCCCTTTAAAGTATTAACAGATAGCTAGAAGTTTAACATAGCAAAAGAATAGCTAGTAGCTAAAACTAGCAAAATGCTAACCAGAAGGTAGAAGAAATAAAAACTAGTTAAAAGTAGCTAAAMTAGATAAAACGTAAAGGTTACAGAAACTGGCTGTAATTAAAGGCTATGCAGAAGCTAACACTTGCTAAAGTTTGTTTAGTTCAGCTGGAAAAGGCAGATAGCTACAAGGGACAGGACAGTAGCTAAAAGTAGGACCTGAAGAATAATTTAGTTTGAAGTCAGAAACTGTTTTCTCTCTTTATGTACCGTTTTCCTCTCCCGACATGAAAGCTTTGAGTTTCGGCTCGTCTACAGTAACTGTCCCACTCTGTCCTCCAGGAGACGCTGATGGGAGTCTGGGCCCGGGTTGAGCGAGCGAGCATGACGGAGAATGGATGAGCAAAAAAGAGAGAGAGCGGGGAAAAAAATCAAAATGAGGAGATCGGAGGGGAAACCGGTCACAGCCGGGAAGGAGTCCCCCCGCCTCCGCCGAGGTCGGCACAGACCGAAGCCCTGACCTGAATACAGACTGTCACCCCACCGAGGAGGAGGAGGACCCACGAGCTGGGGTCAGAGGTCAGGGCTCTTTCTTCTTTTGTCTGTTGCTAGAGATGACAACAAAAAACATCACCACTGTCTGGACCAGAAAACGGACTTCACACTCCGGAGCGGCGGGCGGATGGATGGCCGGAGACGAGGGTCCCACCGTCGCAGCAGGTGGAGAACAAACAGGAGTCACACCTGGATCTTTTTCTGTTTTTGTTTTTTCTGACTCTCACATGGGAACATCTGACCTGTCTGACTCGAAACCATTCGGAGGAAGAAACGAGGCTTTTAAAGTTCACCTGAAGTCCATCAGGTTCAACGTTTGCTTACTGAGGATTAAAAAAATATTCAAAATATGCATTTTACTCTTAATTCTCACCTAATTTCAGGGATTCAAGTGGGTTTTGGTACCAGTGGCACAGGAATCAAACAGATTTCTGCTGAATCATCGGTTAATTTGTTGAAATATTCATTTAATAT